ATTTCTGGAAGCTGATTCCAGCAGCGAGGGGTGTACTTGCTGAAGGGAGATTCACCCTGCTTTGACTGAACTCTTGTAATTTCTAGTTTATATGATCCTAACAATCTGAGTGATCTATTAGGTTTGTACTAGTGAGCATATCTGTAATGTATTGAGGTCCTAGGCCATTTAGTGATTTATAGACCAGTAATAATACTTTAAAATTTATTCTGAATGTAACTGGGAGCCAGTGTAGAGACCTGAGGATAGATGTGATGTGCTTCTGGTTCTGGTCAGAATCCTGGCCGCAGAGTTCTGGATGAGCTGCAACTGTCTGACTGTCTTTTTGGGAAGGCCAGTGAGGAGGCCGTTACAGTAATCCACCCTGCTGCTGATAAAAGCATGAACAAGTTTCTCTAAGTCTTCACTGGAAACAAAGCATCTGATTCTTGCAATGCTTTTGAGATGATAGTATGCTGATTTACTAACTGCTTTGACATGACTATTGAAACTCAGATCTGACTCCAGAGTCACACCAAGATTCTTGACCTTATTTTTTGTTGTTTGACCCTTAAAGCCAAGGTACGCATTCACCTTGGGAACCTCATCTCTTTTACCAAACACAATCACTTCAGTTTTCTCTTTGTTTAACTGAAGAAAATTTTGGCACATCCAATTGTTAATTTCATTTCATAATAATTTCAGAAGAACATAGAAACCCACTTAAGCAAGCGTTAATGCAGAACAACACAAACAGAATGCAGAAGTATAAATGCACGACTACATGCAAAGCTTGCGCTGTGAGTTACGGTTATCACTTGACACAGAAGTATAATTCAACCTTTACAATTGTTTTCCTCAGGCGATGTGATAATCTAGCAGTTTAGTGACTTATCTACTGAAAACAAGACCCTTCTGTCATACCGACCCACAAAGACCAGGCTAAATACATTCCTTGTTCATCTCTATGATGAGTTGTGGGGCTTTTAAAAGAAACTACTCATCCTGTTTCATGTGCAGGCTACAGTGGAAAGAGGATTCTCCGTAACAAAGAAGTGGAGACCCGCAAAATGCAGCAGGGGACAATGGTCACACATTGACTGATGTGTGATTATGTCAACATCTGTTTGGGGCTGACACCTCAATGTCTGTATCAGTTACTGGCCTCTGTTGCTTCTGCTAGGTCTAGAAAAATAATTCACCTTGATCAGGAGAAGACTAAAAAAATACAGATGTCCAGGCAAAGAAAAGCAAAGCTTTAGAAGAAAAAATTGCAACCCAGGCTCATTCTGAAAACGTAGTCCAGCGTACGTTTCTGGAGACCGCGAAAGTCCCGGGAGGTATGTATTTGTGCAGTTTTGGTTTTTGCGATTCCGTGAATCTCTCGCAAGTGCCGTTCGTGCCCGCGCTGTTCTCGCGTCAACCCACCAGAGGCCACTGTCTGACTGAGCGAAAGATTGACTGCATGACCGGCCAATTGGCTGACCCACCCTCCTCCTTTCCTGAATCCAACCAGTTTTACAGATTGACCTGCCCGCTCACTTTCCTAAACCCGAGCAACAATTTAGAAAAGCCGTCTAGAAAAAGAAAAGCCCTCGTCTGTTTTTTTTTTTTACCACGTTTTCGGATTTCACCATGTTCTCAACCTGTTATGAACTCATTCGCTTTATTTTTTTGGATTCTGTTTTTGTCTTACCTGATTTCTGGAACCGCTCTTCCTCAGACTCGAACCCCGATGCCTTTGTCAACTCTTCCTCTCTGCATCTGAAGTCCGCCAATGCACACGATGAGCTGACCGAACAAATTGATTGCGGCGGGAAAGCCCTCCACATGGAGGCAAGCGATCAGCCGGCAAGTGCGAAAGGGAACAGCGTCACACCGCCCGTAGCGTTCACTTAAAAAAATTAAATGCAGCCATATGTACCTCCTGTACATATTTCGTATTTCGCCGTCTCCAGAAACGTCCACAGGACTACGTTTTCAGAATGAGCTTGGGTTAAAAAATTGAGGACCTGAAAAAGAAAAAGAAAACTGTGGTCCAGGTATCCATTAGCCTGCTGAGGGATGTCGATCTGCTTGCAGAGGAAGCTGAAGGAAAAGTTAAAACCTTAATGGCACAGTTCATTACAAATTCATACACACTACAGAAGATGAAAAATTAATTACAGGAAATTGAGACTGAGTTGAAATCGAAGGCCAAAGAGCTAAGGCAAATGCCAACCCAGGCTCATTCTGAAAACATACTGCTATATACATTTCTGGAGAGCGCCAAATATGTCCCAGGAGCTACGTTTTTTGCATTTTTTTGTTTTCGTGAATCCACCTGTGGACGCTGTGTACGCTTTTTCAGATCTCAAAATTACTCTCACGCCATTCATGCCTGCTGTCCTCATGTAAATCCACCATATGCCGCTGTCAACTGACTGACTTAGCTGACTGACTTAGCATTATAGCGTTGGAAGAAACAATCCTTTTCAAAACTTTAAAACAATTCACCCAATTGCTTTGCAGAATTATTCACTGTTTCGAAGTGTTCATGTGCTGGGGACACCCAAAGATCAAAACCATGTAAATGTAACAAAAACTTGAATTAGTTTGGTAAAGGAAAATCATGGTTTGGGGTTACATTCAGTATGGGGGCGTGCGAGAGATCTGTAGAGTGGATAGCAACATCAACAGCCAAGACATTGTGACATTGTGCTGCCAAATACATTACAAACCACAGGAGAGGGCAAATTCTTCAGCAGGATAGCACTTCTTCTCATACTTCAGCCTCCACATCAAAGATCCTGAAAGCAAAGAAGGTCAAGCTGCTCCAGGATTGGCCAGCCCAGTGACCAGCATGAACATTATTGAGCATGTCTGCAGTAAGATGAAGGAGGAAGCAGTGAAGATGAATTCAAAGAATCTTGATGTGCTCTGGGAGTCCTGCAAAAACGCTTTCTTTGCCATTCCAGAAGACCCTCAGAGATGTATGGATGCAGTCCTCCAAACTCATGGGAGTCATACACAATATTAATTCTTTTTCAACTGCACCATGACTTTATGTTCTACACTGTACATTATTTCTGTTGTGACAAGACTTTTGTCTAAGCAAAGTCAGACCTTACTGTCCTAATTAAATAATTAAAAATCAAGGCACGATCATATTTTATTTTGGTAAAATCAATGTAATCTAGAGGCCTTTGCCTTTCATATAAGCCACTTCTGATACCAAATGATTAACTAGAAGTCAGGTTATTATTTGTTGTTCCCAAAACTTGCATAAATGACAAGACTTTTGTTAGATAGAGTACAGTATAAGTTATCCAAAAAACATAAAACTACAACTTTGTGGTATTTTTGAGGAACATTTTCCTTCACCAGCATCACGTAGTGACCTGGGCACTATTCTGCAAGAAGATTGGCTCAATCTCCCTCTGGCCACAGAGCAGGACTTGTATCTGTCATTCCTAAGATGAATCGATGCTGTATTGGCTGCAAAAGGAGGCCCTACATCATACTAATAAATTATTGTGGTCTAAAACCATGGGCGACACAGTGGCGCAGTAGGTAGTGCTGTCACCTCACAGCAAGAAGGTCACTGATTCAAGCCTCGGCTGGGTCAGTTGGTGTTTCTGTGTGGAGTTTGCATGTTCTCCCTGCGTTCGCGCGGGTTTCCTCCGGGTGCTCCGGTTTCCCCCACAGTCCAGAGACATGCGGTGCAGGTGAATTGGGTAGACTAAATTGTCCGTAGTGTATGAGTGTGAGTGAGGGTGTATGGATGTTTCCCAGAAATTAGTTGCAGCTGGTAGGGCATCCGTTGCATAAAACATGTACTGGATAAGTTGGCGGTTCATTCCGCGGTGGCGTCTCTGGATTAATAAAGGGAATAAGCCGAAAAGAAAAATGAATGCATGAAAACCAGGCATTTTTGTTTCATTGTCCAACCCAAAATTACTTAAAATTTTACTTTTAAAATGTAGATGTTTGATATTTGATGTCAAGTGGTATTTACTTGTATATTTTTGTTGATATGTATTTTTAAACAATCAAAGCCTTCATCTGTAATTCCTCCATTCTTCATTATATTTTATTTTATTTTACATTTATTTAATTTTTTTTATTTTATTATAATTCTTTTTATTTTTTTATTAATTATTTTTTTTTAAATTTTGTTAAATTTTATTTATTTATTTTATTTTTATTTAACTGTTTTTTTGTTTCATTGTTTATTATTCTATTTTATCCCATAATTTTTTGTAAAAATTATATATTTTTAATTTTATTATATTCCTTCCCCATTTTTAAGCCATAAATTTTATACCTGATATCACTACTTTGTAACAGTGATATACATTAATTTGCATCAATCACAGAACTATATTCTCAAGTATCTGGAAGCATTCATCTGTAATTCCTCCATTATTAATTTTGTTTTATTTATTTTGTTTTATTTATTTTATTATTATTTAAATGTTTTACATTCTATTCTATTTTTCTTTTTTTAATTTAATTTAATTTAATTTAACTAAATTTATTTTTTTTATTATTCTCTTTTATCTTTTATATTTTTAAATTTATTTTTATTTTATTGTACTCCTTCCCAATTTTTAAGCCATACATTTTATACGTGATATCGCTGCTTTGTAACAGGGATAAACATTAATTTGCATCAATCATAGAACTATATTCTCAAGCATCTGGAAGCATTCATCTTTAATCCTCCATTATTTATAATTTTTTATTTTATTTTTATTTTATTTATTTATTTTTATTTTATTTATTTTTATTTTATTTATTTTATTCTTATTATCTTTAAATGTTTTAATTTAATTTAATTGTATTTAATTGTATATCGTTTTATTTTCCCCATTTAAAACCAAAAATGAAGGTCTGAAAAATCACAGTCACATGATGGAGCGAGGCGGGCTCTCGTACAGTCACGAGCCAATAGGAGCGCCCGCCAACCCGAGCTCTGTAGATATGAGAATAGAGCATGAATAACGGGACTCCATAATATTTACTGAAATGCTTCGTCGCAACATGAGCGTTGCACATATGTGGCGTATAGAAATAAATCATTAAATTGTCAACACTCGTCTATACACTGAGACAAGCACTCCGGCGCTGCGAGCTGTTTATTTAGGCTTAGGATGGCCTGGATCTGGAAGGTAAGTCGAGCAGCTGTGTGTTTGTCTGCTTTTATATTACGTGTACTGTATGAATGCGCATTAATCTGATGTCCGGATTGCATTCATAATGTTGTGGTGTTTTATAATATGCAGTGTGTTGTGGGAAACGGATGTCTATGCAGATATACCGCTGCTTTTGTAGCAAATGAATGTAACTGTGGTGGAAGCTTTTTGTAACATTGTTCAAGTGCGACACGTGTGATTTCACAGTTTGCTTATACACTTTGCTGTTAAATATACTTGGTAAGTTTTAATGTATCCAAACATCCCCATCACGACGTCCGATTTGCTATATGAAACCTCCAACAAAGTTATTCGTTACATGCGCGTCATTACAGCCAGGGATGTGGGCTGAATGTTGATCATCTCCTTGAGATCTGCTCTGAAACAATTGGAAACCATCCTGCATCATGAGACCATTCATAATATATGTGGCTTGAGGGTTTGTTTTGTTTGAATGAAACGTTCTATCCTGTGTGTTGTGAACGGAGAGTGAAACAAACTGACAGATTGTATTTTAAAACATGCATGAATCAAACTATTTGTCAATCTGAAAACAAAACACCCCTACAAATCTCCTTTTGTAAACTGTCAAACTTTAAGTCATGGCCTGTGTATTGTTAGAAGATATCAGATATTAAATACACATGGATTGCTTCATTTGATTCCATACAAGTAATCTTAAAAATAGAGAAACATTATTCAGCTGAATGCTGAAACATAATCAGTTTTAATAGTGTTTTTTTTAACATTAACTAACATTAAACTAATACAACTTTATTGTAAACTAGTTACAAATTACAATAAGGTTGAATTAGTTAACGTTAGTTGAAGTTTTATGAACATAAACAAACAATCAACAATGCATTTATTATAGATTTATTAATGTGGCGCAGTGGGTTGCGCTGTTGCCTCACAGCAAGAATGTTGCTGATTCGAGCACCAGCTGAGTCAGTTGGCATTTCTGTGTGGAGTTTGCATGTTCTCTCCCTGTTCGTGTGGGTTTCTTCCAGATGCTCTGGTTTCCTCCTGAGTCCAAAGGCATGCGCTAGAGGTGAATTGAATAAGCTAAATTGGCCGTTGTGTATGTGTATAAATGCAGGAGTGTATGGGTGTTTCCCAGTGCTGGGTTGCGGCTGGAAGGGTATCCGCTGCATAATAACATATGCTGGATAATTTGGTGGTTTATTCCACTGTGGCGACCCCTAATTAATAAAGTGACTATGGGCGCACTCACACTATGCTATCCGAACCGAAAAAGAAAATGAATGAATGAAGGTTAATGTTAGTTGATAAACTTTTTTTTTTAATTGTCAGTTAGCGTTAACTCAGTGCATCTATTACTAACAACCAAGAATTTGGATTCTAATAATGGATTAATAAACAGGCCTGTAGCCAGCCTGGTGAAAGGTGTGGTTCTTTTTTCTCAAAATGTGGACTTTTTTGCAGTTATTCACCACATTTTCTATTTAATTATAATGTTTAAATATTCCAATAAGTGGCATTTTAAGCACTATTTTTTTTTTGCTGGATTAGCTTGTTGTATCCTCCATTTTCGAAAATATTTCCTAAAGATTTATAATAAACAAATATAAAAAAAAGAGCTTCACGATTATCTTCTAGCCTCTCTTGAAAATTCATCTAACAACAACAGCCTAATTAGTATAAACAGCAGAAGTCAGCTCTAAGGCGCTCGAAAAATGTGGAAAAAATATTAAAAAGTCTTTACTGACATGGCTGTTTCTTAAAACTGTGCCTACATGTTTAGATAACACTTGACTTTATCAGGGTAACCTGATGTAGCTGCAGTTATAAGGAACAGCCACTTGTATTAAAGGACAAAATATAAAATTGTATATGGAAAGCATTAATGAAGTCATCCACATACTCCTTGATGGACCGTGCTTCCTGACGCAGACGCATGATTGCAATACCCGCTGGATCCATGTTGTGGCCGAGTCTTCTGTAACGACGGGGAAGTGACTTCATTAATCTGGCACACCTAATAACGAGTGAGTTATGCCTGATGATCTTTTTTCACGGAGGACTGTCTGAGCCATTGTACACAACATTGCGATTGCACGAGTCTTCTGTAACGTCGGGAGTGACACCAACAACAGAAGTTTGGATCCACGTGCAGGTAGGGTTGTAACGGTATGAATTTTTTACGGTATGATAATCGTCTAAAACAATACCACGGTTTGACGGTTTCGCGGTATACGATATTAAATAGTAATTCTCATAGCAAAGACCCTGAAAAGAATAAGAACACGTTTTCTGACTGAACAAAGGTTTTATTTCAACAAACTTTTGAAAGAACCATTTTAATAGAACTATAGAAGTCTTTTATAAAAATAAACTGAAAAATCTCCCATTTTAATAAATTAAATTAGAAGGAATAAACAAGCAAGGTCTTTTAAGATTAGACAAAAATAAACTTAAACTGTCCTTCCTTATAAGCAGGATAAATGGGAGACCAAAAGTGCAATACCAAGTTTATGGCTGTAAACATGTATTTAAAGCGTTGTTTTTTTCAGTCTAGGTTGTGATGAAGAAATGTAAGCATGTTGAGATTTTCAGGACTTAATCTTGACCACTGAGGTGAGAGAATGTGTCCACTTGTACAATGAACAAATAAAAAAATAAGAAAATAATAAATAATGTGTCAAAGTCCAAATAAACATGGTGCAAATCCTCAGTAAAAAATATATATAAATATTTACTATACTATAAATAGTTACATAACGAAACTAGATTCAATATGGAACATCCTTAGGTTTTATGTGCCAGCATGGATATGGTTGTCTGTGGATATGGATTTGGATATGGTTGTATGCAATGCAGACAAACAGCTGCACCTCCATTTGTGTCTTTTGAAAACAGCAAGAGCAGCAGTTCGTCTTTGCTGTGTCACTGTTTTGTCATGTTTCTGTGCTGCTGTGCATGCAAAAGTACTTAGTATGAGAATTATTTCATGCAAAACTTTTTTTTTTTGCGTTTTATTTAGCCGCGCATAAATGTATGCCTATCTCTCATTCCGTGTTGTTCAAAAAGCTCAGTGTTGGTCCACAAACAAAAGCGAAACCTATGCTTATTGGTTGTGATATACCGAGTTTGAACCAATCTGGGCATGGAGGAGGGACAATGCATCAATGTATTATGTCTGGTTTGTCCGGAGACACAGTGACGAGCGTTTCTTTGTCAAATCAGCGTTGTCAAATTTTGATGACGTAACCGCACTGATTCCAGAGCCTCTGAAAGTCTGCGAATGTTATGTGATACAGCACTGGAAAGCTGAGATTCTCTTCTTTATGCCAATCTTTGAATTGTATGAATCGGATCAGCGGTTCAAAAGTTATTAAACATTTAAGAGCAATACTTATTTTTAGCCGCGGGCGGCTGTCTCGGGTTAAAACCGTTGATATGCAATTGTTCATGGTATGATAATCGTGCACGTTCAAATCGTGGTAGACCGTCATACCGGTATATTGTTACAACCCTACGTGCAGGTTTATTAGAATTGTCAGGCAAGCAGTGGTCAATACCGTCAAACAGATGTATGAGGGTAATCCAGAGTCGAAGTCAAAACAGCAGGCAGTTGGTCAGAGGCAGGCAGCAAACAGCATTAAATAAATAAACAAAAACACGGCAAAGACAGACAAAGTAAACGCGTTGTAATGTCACTGTGACAGATAACAAGACTCGGCAACGTGTGTGTGGAAAAGAGGGGTTTAAATAGTCCAAATAATCATTGTGTGAGTGGCTTCAGCTGTGACAGTGCAATCAGTGTGGATCTGGAACCGGGTGTGTGTGTGTGGCATGACTGGGTGTTGTAGTCCATAACATGGCAGATATGTTGTTCAATGAGTGTGAATGTTTGTGTGTGAATGTTTACCAGCGACATCTGGTGGTTGTTCGCTGGTGAACATGACAGCATTGTGAAGCATCAAGATTAGGAATGTGCAAAAATATTGATATATCTAACTATCGCGATAATTCCTTTCGCGATAGTGTATCGATAGTCCAACCTGAAGTATCGATAAACAACCAAACAACCTCCTCCTCTGCTCCAGTAGATGTCGCTAACTATCAACAAAACGCTAAGCAGTACGGTATCAAAAGTAAGCAAGAGTGAGCATGGTGGAAAATATAAAGGCGCCTCCAGCTTTTAGGGCTGACCTGTGGCTGCACTTTGTTTTTAACACTATACCAGGGAATATGGAATTATACACAAAAATGCCATTTGCAAGCTTTGCAAATCTCAAAAATTGGAATTGGAATTTTAATTCGTCTGCTGACTTTATTAAGTTGTCAATATAACATGACACACATACTAATACAAACTATTGCAATATATCACAATATTTATTGTATCGCAATATATTGTGATATATATATTGTATCGTGACCCATGTATTGTGATATGTATCATATCGTGAGGCCCTTGCCAATACACAGCCGTAATCGAGATGGTGTGATAATCATAACCGAACCGAACTGTGAGACCCGTGTAGGTTTACACCCATAATAAATGTAAGTATTGTTAGTATTAACTGATATTAACTGTATTGTAAAGCAGGGGTACTCAAACTTTTCAGCACGCGACCCCTAAAATAACAACTCCAGTGACTCACTATGCTCTGAGGTGGTTATAAGCATACAAATATTGCACACAATTGTGCACACACACCAATAGGAACTATATAAACATAAGCATATTGTCAACACAAAAAAGTGCAACAGTCTTACAACCATATCTTTTTCATAATCATTATTCATTTGTTTAATTTCATATTAACCTCACTTAATGAGAATGGTGAGCACAATATTTATAGCACAAAACTATTCTTGGTTCAATATTGGACAGGGCTCAACAATAAGGACTGCCCGGTGGCCCAGGGCCAGCGTGAGAGACGCTTGGGACAGTAGACAGAATCAATACTGGCCCGATTGGGACAGTGCTGCCTTGTCACTAACAT